AACCGGTTCCCCAAAGATTTTAAAAGCGTTAGCTATTTTTACTGTTTAGCACCTTCCTGCCCCTAATTATGTTGCCGAGTACACTTCTGGGCAGGAAGTAGTTTTTAATTAATTAACTTTGAGCAGGGATAAGGTGAAAAATAGCAACAGTCAATTTGGGTGTGATTGCGTTATCAAAGTTACTTGATATCATTGAAGCGTTACTGAAAGGCACATACACCTTTGGACAATACTGGACTTCGTCAATGCATCCATGTGATACAGGTATTTGACACGCAGTATTATCTATGCTCCAACTTGAGACCGCAATGATGACGGCATCGCGCGGCATGGAGCGGCACAATTCAGAAAAGCCTCCTTCCTTCTTCACATCTTCAGGTGCGCATTTCGTGCTTATTCAAGTTACACAGGTCTCAAAAGCCATCAATATCTCCAGCATTGACACCACGCCGCCGCCATGTCTTTGGAGCTTTCGAACTGCCAACCTCATAATCCATCCGACGATTCCGGCTGACCCCGGAGAACATCGTCGGATGGATTATGACCCCGGAGAACATCGTCGGATGGATTATGACCCCGGAGAACATCGTCGGATGGATTATGACCCCGCCCCTCTGCTGACAACATAAGGCGCTGGTTTAACCGAGCACACACCAGAAGCACCCGCATCGGAGACAAATAACCTCCCGGAACAGCGAGTGGCGCCACGCGTCATCGCAACCTGTTGGGTGGTAGTTTCCAGGGTATCACCAAGCCGGCCATCCGTCGTCTGGCTCGCCGCGGTGGCGTCAACCGCGTCAGCGGCCTCATCTACGAAGAGACGCGCAGCGTTCTCAAGGTTCTTCAGGGGAATGCTATCCGCGACGGCGTCACCTACACCGAGCACGCCAAGCACAAGACCGTCTCCGCCACGACGCTGCCTACGCGTATTGTTCGCTGCTGTACAGATATCGATGGCTCGCTTATTGCTCGCATTGCTCATCCGCTAAGATGAGCTCGCCAGTCGGGTGTTGCCGGCCCATCGGTGGTGCCCGCCCCGATAGGGAAGGTCATTGATTTGATGCACGCTACCAAGCGGAACGTATTTCTGTGCCCGTCAGATGAAACTGGACTTTTGCAAGGCTGTGTGGAGAGGGTTCAGCGTCATAAACTCAGACCGGGTGTTGGATGCGTCGTCAGTGGTCAGGACAGCGCAAAGTTGGCATGTACGTCAAGTGGACTTCGCAGCACTTGAACGTAACTTGCCCATGTTTGGTCGTAGGGAGGCCTGCCCCAATAAAATCCCTGATTTGTGCCACCACTC